TCTAGTCGAGTTCTGATTATCGAGCCATCGAGGCTAGGTCAAAAGGGTACTGTCTGCAAGTTTGGGTGTTCTTGTGCATCTCCCTTCACTTCATATCAGCTGGATGCTTCACTCTCATCTCTAGCCCTCTGAGGCTAAGTCCTTGTCCATGGGCTCAAGTGTCCTCAGGTCTCACCATACTTTGGACCAACCAGCCCTTCCTCTTCTCTCATCTCCAGGTCAACGGGAGTCATTGGACTGTGGTTGCACTCAGCCCATTTCTTCATTGCTGCCTTTCCCCCTCTTCCACTCACCAGTAGACCAATGTGGTCGCCAGTAAGCTTACATACTTGTTTGTGTGTTCCCTTTGAGTTTCAGTCTTAGAGGGGAGTTTGTCTTAAAGGAACTTGATTGCTAGCCTTGATGTCTTCCTGGTGAATAGCTTACTTATTCTTGTAGTAGCCAGTCATGCTGACATTTTTGTTTTGGGTTTTTCCTGGTGATCTTTCTTTGAAGATGTATCTTCTGTCACTGTAGCTGTTCCAGGCTGGTCTGCTTGTCCTTTCTAGTGGGAATGTCCTACCTCATAAGGTTCTGGATTCCATTTAAGGTCTTATACTCTGTAAAGGCTTTGCATGAAGCCTATTTCACTGGGCAAGTTGTAGAACCCCTTTTAGGGATTCTAATATAACAGCTCCTTTTAACTGAGGTATGACTTTTCCATTTTCCCACAGTATCTAGCACTTCACCATATCATGTATTCACTTCATTCATTTTCTTTCTCACTGTTCCCTGCATCCCTCTCCTTCATCCCAATGAAGCAAGTAAGCCTGCATCAACTCATGTCCTCTCACTTTGTAGACACATTTCCAACAGCCCATTTTGAATATTCCCAGTTTATTAAATCATACATTATTTACATAAAAATTAAATTGTTTAATTCTCCTAGGGTAGTGTGATTGGGTGGTTTATATATGAATTTAAATGTTTATGTAAAGTTGGAGAATTGAAAAACTTTTCCTTTTTTTTGGCAGTTAGAAATATCAGTGAAATTTTATGGGAGTTCTTGAAATCTGTTTAAGGTCACACATGCTATAGGATCAGCACTGGACTGTGAACCACAAGGTTGGCAGTTTAAACCCACCGAGGTCACTGTGAGTCCGAACTGACTCGCGGCACTTAACAGCAATTATCCATAGACTGTTTTTTTTTTTTTTTTCCTTCCAATGGGTATGTTTTTATGCTAGCTGACAGAAAGTAAAATCAGGATGTATCACAAAATCTTAAGAATAAATTAATGTCATGGAAAAAATTATTATTATTATCATTTTAGGTTTTATCAGTGGCTCTGCGGGAGAAAGATGAGGCATTCTGCTCCCATAAAGATTTACAGCCTCGGAAACCCTGTACAGGGTCGCTATGGGTCGGAACCGACTCGACGGCACTTAACAACAACAACAAAGATTAAAGAGCCTTGTAGATTTTTTTCCTTTGGGACTTGGTTAGATGTCTTTGGTATTTTCTTGTAGAGTTAGAGTTACTGGTAAAATAATTAATCTGCAGCAAATTTTATGTTGTAAAGATTGAGAAGAGTTATTTCTCAACATTTAGAAGTTATAGTTAAAAACCGATAAATTGATTTTGTTTGGTGATTTGGCTTTATCTACAACTAACATTTCAGGCAAAAAAATGTTTAAATATTTATGTTAGGATAAAACCTTACAGAATCTTTTAAAATCTTACTCTCTCCTCTTTTCTAGTGACATAGACCAGAGCCACTAATGCTTAAAGCAGAGTGCTTTGGGATTAAGGATGAGACACTCATTGTTCACCTTTGCACTGTCCACAGATGTTGTGATGCAATATGTCAACTCAAATTGTTCCTGAGACCAGTTAGAATAAACTAGACGGATACAAGACTTGAGTTCAGGCATTAAGATGTTTGTAAATAACATGCCATGTTTTTATTCTTCTGATTTTAGAGTTGGGTTTTTATAATTACCCAGCTGGCACAGGAGAGGCCTGAGCATAAGACAGATACATTCAAAACTCCAACCTTTTGGTGAGGCCACATCCTGGTGGCCTGTGCCTTGGGTCCACCCTGCAGATGTGTTGCATTTTGTATGGCCTTTCAAGTGTTTAAAGACACTGTTTTTCTGAATTGGGTAGACAGCATTTTGCAATCTAGAGAGTTCACATAAACATCTAAATTTCCTGCTTCTTTTGAAAAATCTGACTTTCTGGCCACACTGGCACTTGGTCCTGCTGGCTAAAGGCTGCACACTTTAGCAGGACACAGAGTTCATCTTCTACCACAGATGCAAACACAGGACTGCCTCTCTTATTTATGGTTTCTAATGACCCCTACCTGTGTGAGTTTGTAACCCTGCAGACGGAACGCTGACTCATGAGCTGGCGGAAATCTTTAAAGTGGTTGATTGTCTTAGGATGTAGGTAATACACTTAATCCATTTGCTTTGTGAGGTTTAAAGCCAATTTGGAATGTTTTTGTTGAGTTGACTTTAGAAGTTTTGACCAGTCTCAGTGGAGCAGATTTTTGTCCTTAAGTTGGAATTTTGAAAATGCCAAAGAATGATTTGGAGCCAAGTTTGGTGCAAAAAACATGTGTGGCTATGAAATAGTGAAAACTGCTTCTCTTGGGTGGCTTATAAGCTGACTCAAAGGCTAATATTTTTTAGGGATTCAGTAAATCCTTTGATTCTTTGAGATGTCAGTCGCACCTTCCACTCAACTTTCAGAATAGAGTCTGTTATGCATATTGACTTGGGTTTTATTTTATTCACATAATTTGTCCTACCCTTCCCATCTCTACAAGACTGGGAGACATCGGGGGAATAAGTATCCTTTTCTTCCTCTTTGTCTTCCCAAGTCTTATGGTTTGTATAGTTGAAGGCCAAACTACTAAACGAACGATATAAGTTAGTATGAATGGACAGTATCTCAAGTTATCTATTTTAAAGTAGACAGCATCCATATATAACTGTGAAACAGTCATTCTCATTTTTATTTTTGCAGTTGAATATACCTGTAGAACCACACTGAATTGAAAATTAATTGTTTTCAGATTGATTGTAAACATTTCTTGGTCAATAGAGTCCTGGTTTGGTGCCTGGAGTCCTGGTTTGGTGCCATGGGTTAATGTGCTGGACTGCAAGGTCATTTGAACTGGAAATTCAGTACTTCAAGCTCACCAGCTACTCCTAGGAAACCATATGCAGGATCCATATGAGTTGGAACTGACTTGATAACACTTAACAACAACAGAGTAAGCCTAGAGTCCTGGTGTGGCACTGTAGGATCAGCACTAGACTGCTAACCACAAGGCTGGCGGTTCAAACCCACCAACTGCTCCTTGGAAAGCCTTTATCTTGGTGGCACAAATAGTTTGCAATAGGTGAATAATCCAAAGGTTACTGGTAAGGGTCCCTATAAGTCAGAACTGACTTGATAGCACTAAACAACAACAAAGAGTAAGCCCTGGGTATTGCAAAGCCTCGGTTCAAAGCAACTTCTTTCCTTTGGACAGGCAAGTATGACTTTACTATATACTTGTGGCTTTTCCAACTGATGAGGAAAGAAATGTAATAGTTAAAGATGGAAAAAAATAAATAAATCCAACAACAAAAATACTCCACTAAGAGTTACAGCCTGCTATTTGTGCCCTAGTTGAAAAAGAAAATTCATCAGACTAATTCAAATTGCATTAAATATTGGATACTTGTTCACCAAGCATCGGGAATCTTGGTAGCACAAGGAGTTTGCAATAAGTGGATAATACAAAGGTTGCTGGTTCAAACCCAACCAACGCTTTGAGGCCTAGCAATCTGCTTCCATTAAGATAATAGCCAAGAAAACCCTAAGGAACGCTACTGTGTTAACACATGGTCAACATAATATATGGTCGACATATGACAGCTAACAAGTATCAGGGTCAACCTCAGGATGGAGAAGCATCCACAGTTTAAAACTTTCAATGTGGAAAAGAACTAATACACAAATATATTAAATCAATAGGAACCAGTACTTGTCAATTCTGACTCATGGTGAGCACACGTGTGTCAGAGAATAACACCCATAAGGTTTTGAGTGGTTGTCCAAAGCGGATTGTCAGGCATTGCGTCCGAGGTGTCTGTGGGTGGGCACAAGCTTCCAAAAAATTTTTTAGCCGTGACAAAAACTCAAAAGCCACACAAAACCATGGCAAACTCAACATCCAGTATATGTGTGCATGCTTGTGTTTGTAAAACATTTTAAGGTTGAATATTTCTTTCAGGGGAGGATAAGTAATGCATGTATCAAGACTCTGAGGGAATTCTTAGTGTTTCTATGTTGAAGAAAGAAGAAAATCACCTTACTCCCAACTCTTGACCTTAGGGCAGTTCATTTCCATTTCCATCCTTACACACACAGATCTGTTCAGCACTGCACTCTGAACTAGTTTCCCTCTTGGTAGACGCTGGAAGCGCATCCTTCCCTTTTACCTCCTCCTCCAGGCTCTATTTTGGGGCCCCACGATGATCTCATGCCCTCTGCAGACCACACTGCAATTCCAGACCAGTCCAGCCCGCGCTCCCGAGGCCATGCAGGGCGATTCCTGCAAGTGTGCATACGGTACCGTGGCGCGGGAAGGGGAAGGCTTTGGGTGAAGTAAAGACACGCCCACGACAAGGACCAAAATAACCAACACGCAGAGTGCCCGAAATCAGACAGGAAGCCAAATAATCCGGGGCGTTGGGTGGCTCTCCCCTCACTTTTGCGCTGGGCGGAGGGAAAGGAGCCAAGGGTCTGGCCGGGAGGGGCGGCGCGGCGGCGGGGCGGAGCGGCGCGGAGCCTATTAAAGGCGGCTGCGGCGGCGAGGCCCGAGTGCTGGGCCACGATGCAGCGAGACGGCTGCGCGGGGGGCGGGAGTCGTGTTGGTGGAGGTGAGGGCCGGTGCGGTCCCCGGGAGGGCTCGGCGGGGAACGGCCGCGACGCGAGCCACCGCCACGCCGCCGAAGCGCCGGGGGAACCGCCGGCGGCCGCGTCCTTGCTGGCCCCGATGGACCTAGGGGAGGAACCGCTGGAGAAGGCGGCGCCCGCCCGCGCGGTCAAAGATCCCAACACCTACAAAGTGCTTTCGCTGGTAGGTCAGGCCGGCCGGGCGTCCGGGGAGGGCGGGAGGCGGCGGCCCCCTCCTGGCTCTCGGAGCGCGGTCAGCACCCAGGGCCCGGAGAGAGGCAGGTTTTTCTACCGCTTCGCCAGCCCGCTCCCAGCTGCAGGTTTCTGAGCGTGTTCATCACCGCTGTACTTCTCTTTCCCCAGGCGAAAGAGGTCACCCTTATTCGCATTACTCTTGTATGTATGAAAAGTCGCTGTTAAAAATTGTGGTCTTTAGACATACAGTTTTAAAAATAATTTTCTTCCCAAATGGTGGTGGGTTTTTAGAGGGGAAAAATGACCAACCCGAAATTTATTTATTTATTCTTAATAATGTTTTCGCTGTTGATGACCACTTTGATCAACTGATTCCAGTTTAAAGATATAACAGAGTTCTTTAAGTTTTACAAGGAACTTTAGAAAGCACTTTTTCTTTTGGCTTTGTTTAGGAATTTCCTTGCAGCTGTCCAGAAATTCCATCAGTATTCGCATATTGTGACTTTGAATAGCGTTTATGATTCTTTGCCTACTCTTCACCGTAGGCTACAGCGGTTTTGTTGCTAACAAAACTCCGTGTTATTCTAATGCTAGTTTGTCATGGTAGTTACTGGACCCATAGTCAACGTTTATGAAATATCAGTGATGTTTTTCATTATAAATCTGGCGTGGAAGGTGATGGAATGAGTTAGAAGACCTGGGTTCTTGGTTTCGTGGCCATTAAAAATGTCATGGCTTATAATTAATTAGCCTGCGTAACTCTTGTCTTCTCAGACTTCACTTTCTTTTGGGGTAAAATACGGATAACAGCAACTCCATTCTACAGGACAAAGGATTATTGTGAAGATCAAATGGAACAATACTGTATGTGGGAAAATACATTGAAAACTGCAGGGAGACAAAGATATTTTTATTATAGTAAAGGAACTCTGGTAGCATAGTGGGTTATGAGCTGGGCTGCTAACCTCAAGGTCAGCAGTTCAAAGCTAGCAACTGCTCCGAGGGAGAAAGATGGGGCTTTTTGCTCCAGTAAAGATTTGCAGCCTCGGAGACTGTCTACATAGCTACAGGGTAGCTATGAGTAGGAACCAACTCCACAGCACACCACCACTAACACCATATTGAAGTCCTAGATTTATAAATATTTTAGTGAGCTTAAACCACTGACCTTGAGGTTCAAACCAACCTTGCAGTTCAGTGCATTAACCCACAGCGCCACACCAGGATTCCATGTTGTTGTTGTTGTTGTTGTTGTTAAGTACAGTGGAGTCGGTTCAGACTCATAGTGACCCTGCACGGGATTTTCCCTATACAGGATTTCCGAAGCTGCAAATCTTTACAGGAGCAGAAAGCCTCATCTTTTTCCTGCAGAACAGCTGTTCGTTTTGAACTGCCAACCTTGAGGTTAGCAGCCTCATTTGTAACCACTAAGCTGCCAGAGTTCCTTATATATTGTCATTTAAATGTTACAAATGAACAATAATGAGTAGAAAATATTCGTTCCTTATTTTTGTGCTTTCTGCTTTTGTAATAAGCATTTCCATTTGCACTATATTATGGAGGTGTTTTAAGGTCACATTGTGTCAGAGCTGATTCCATGGCAACTAACAACATGGTACTTTGAGGAACCATCATTTCTAGACTCAAGAGATGGTATTATACCTTGTTGGTTAAAAATAAGCCTAAGGATGAAAATGCCCCAACCCACATCAAGTTTGTAGCTCAAGATAGTTTTTTGCATCATATAGTCTGTTGTTGTTAAGTACTGTCAACTTGGTTCCAAATCATAGTGACCCTGTAAAGGGTTTCTGAAGAGCAGCTGGTGGTTTTGAACTGCTGACCTCATGGTTAACAGTACTTATCCTACAGTGCCAGGAGTTCTAGAGCACACAATGCTGATAAGAACTTACTTAGTTTTTTTTTGTTGTTGGTGGTGGTGATTTTTGTCTGAGTTTTTAATTTTTTACCCCTTTCTAATGGAGTCCTGGTGTGGTGCTGTGGGTTAATGCACTGGACTGCAAAGTCAGTTTGAATTGCAAGGTCAGTGGTTCAGGCTCACCAGCCGCTCCTCGGAAACTGTATACTGGGTTGCTATGGGTCAGAAGCAACTCGACTGTACTTAACAATAACAATGGAAAATCTTAGCTTTTGCAATTGTTGTGCTGTGCCGTGGAGTCGGTTCCGACCTATAGCGACCCTGTACAGGGTTTCCGAGGCCATAAATCTTTACGGGAGCAGAAAGCCTCATCTTTCTCCCACGGAACAGCTGGCAGTTTCGAACTGCTGACCTTGCGGTTCGCAGCCCGATTTGTAACCACTACTCTACAGGGTCGCTATGGGTCAGAACCAACTCAACTGCACTTAACAATAACAGCAATGGAAAATCTTAGCTTTTGCAATGTTGTTGTTGTTAAGTGCCATCGAGTCGGGTCCGACCCATAGCGACCCTGTACAGGGTTTCCGAGGGTGTAAATCTTTATGGGAGTAGAAAGCCTCATCTTTCTCCCGCAGAGCGGCTGGTAGTTTCGAACCGCTGACCTTAAGGTTCGCAGCCCGATTCGTAACCACTACGCTACCAGAGCTCCTTAGCTTTTGCAATAGGATCACTTAAATTATTTAATATGTTTATGAGTACCTTCAAGCACACTAGTGCAGTGAATCTGTATGTAACTCCAATGTAAAAACCATTTCTAAAGATATCTATAGTCTTGAGAAGTTTTCTAGTTATTAAATTCAGTTTTCAAAACATTTCTACTCAGGTACCTTGAGATCCTCAATAAATATCAGCAAAGGTGTACTTTTGTGGTGGTGCCTTTGATACTTACAGTCACAGCTCTCTGTAGAGTCTCATGATGTTCATCTGGGAATTTCACATAGACGTGTTCTTAAACTAACTTCCATAAATAAGACAATCATGAATACTTTATAATTCCATCCAGTGGGTATCTGAGGTATCGAGTGCTGCTGTAACAAAAATATCACAATTGGATGGTTTTAATAAACAGAAATGTATTCTCTCATAGTGTCATCGTTGACGTTATGTGCCGAGTAGTCGGTTCTGACTCATAGTGAGCAACCCTATACAGGGTTTCCAAGGCTATAAATCTTTATGGGAGCAGAAAGCCTTATTTTTCTCCTGCAGACCCGCTGGTAGTTTCGAACTGCTGGCTTTGCAGTTCACAGCCCGATTCGTAACCACTACGCTACCAGAGCTCCATGATCTCTCATAGTGAGAAAGGCTAGAAGTCCTCATTCAGGGTGCCTTCTCTCTCTATGTTGGCTCTAGTGGAAGGTCCTGGTCTCCTTTCAACATCTGTGAGCCCCACGTTCCTTGGAAGTCTCCATGTGTCCTGGCATTAATCTCCTGGTCCGGGAGGTTTCCAGCACAGGGATCCTGGGTCGCAAGGACACACTCTTCTTCTTGATCTCTTGGTGATAGTTCAGTAAATCCCTACTTCTCACTCCTTTTATCTCTTGTAAGATAATAGTGATGCAGGCCACCTCCCGGGAAAACTCCCCTTACATCAGGTCAGAACTGTGACCTGAGTCAGGGGATTGTGTCCCACCCTGATCCCCTTACAGCTGAGTGGCTGATCACATCATGAGGAAGAGGGATAATTCCATCATTACGCAACTGCCAAATTACCTGATTATGTAATTGCAAACCATTGAGAATCTTGACCCAGCCAAGTTGACATATTTGTGGGGGAGGACACAATTCAATCCATGACAGTGGGGTTTTTAAACTATTTTTTTCCTTCAACACATACTGAATTGGAAAGAATTCTTTCCTAAAGTCTTGTCGGAATACTTTGTTGTTGTTAAGTGTTGTCGAGCAGACTCCGACTCATAGCGACCCTGTATGGAGTTTCCACGGAGCAGCTGGTGGGTTTGAATTGCAAATCTTGTGGTTCGCAGTCCAGTGCTGATCCAGAATATATACAATTAAACAACAGAACATACAAGTAACACCAAACTCATTTGCCATATCGATGAAACGATAATGATTTAATGACTAAATTGAGAATGAAACACTACCTCTTCCTTATTTTTTCTGTTTCAAATTTCAATACCCTTCTTCCCTCAGACCTTCTCTAAATGACGTGCTTCCAAAAGGAAACATCTGGAAAAGGAACTTAACAATTGTCATCAAGGAGTCTGGGACATGTCTTCTTGAAAGGCATGGCAATTATGGGATTTTATCAACAGTTTGTCATAAAGTTGAAGCTGTAAATTGAGTTAGTTGCCTCCTGGAATTGGGACTAGGGCAGGGTCCCCACGGCAGAGGTCCTGAGACACACAGGTTTGTTGTTGCTTTCCAAATCTACATGGATAATAAGCCCAGGAGTTGCCATGCAGAGAGATAATAAATAATCGGTAACATAACAGCTACATTTTTTTCTGAAATTTTCCCAGTTAAATGTAATTGAAGTAGACCTGTGAGAGTAGATGAAGAAGAGAAGATTCTGCCCTGCCCTGCCCCCTTCTGTGGGGTTTGATCCTGGGGGAAGACCAGCAGGCTGTGTTTTAGGGTCTTTTGGTTCTGGGCCCTGGAAATGTTTTGATTTATAAAAAGAATGTGGAAAACACCAAGGAGTAAAAACAATGATTCAGTAGAGATGTTCATACGAATGCCTTACCTTGGCTCCAAAGCAGGTTTTGAAATAAAATGTAGACTTCCAGTGAAGTTGGACTTACCAATTTATTTGAAATGTCTTTCGTGTTCCCTGGCACAGTTTGAAAGGTGTGGGTAATTTCCAGCCATATTGCATTTACAGGTCTCTAGTAAGGAGCTCTAGTAGCGTAGTGGTTACGAATTAGGCTGCGAACCACAAGGTCAGCAGTTTGAAACTACCAGCTGTTCCATAGGAGAAAGATGAGGCTTTCTGCGCCTGTAAAGATTTACAGCCTCAGAAACCCTATACAGGGTTTCTATGAGTTGGAACCGATTCCACGGCACATAACAGTAACAGTTAGCACTGCTAAGGA